TCGCTCATGACGCGGCCGCCGTGGTTGCCCCAACTGGACGCCCCGCGGCATCATCACGCCTCAGTGGCCAGGTAGACACTCCTTGTTCGAGTTTGAGTTAAAGTTTCCGCACTCCTTTCAAAATGAGCAATAGTGTATACGGATAGCTTTTAAGCCCCTTGCTGCATTGTACTGTAAAATTATCTAAGGGGTGAGACCTCCGGATTTAATGTCTATCTCCGATAGGACCGAGCCGAATTGGGACATTCGTTTAAAGTGCCTTTCCCAAGGACATTTCCCAAGGACACAACATTGGACCCAGCTGAGGCTTGAACCCCCGACCCCGCAATCTTTCGATTATGAGCCTGGTGCTCAAACCACTAGACTACCTACGCTGGTCGCTGTTTTCAACAACAAACCAGTGTATAATTGGTCTTTAAAGGGCATGCAGAATGGTATGACTTGCTTACTCTCTCCCCATACTGTCGGGTTATTTATAGGCAGAGAGGCTGCGCTTGCCTGTCCCTGGCCACCTCCTTCAATCTTTGCACATCTAGGCCTTGAGGGATTGCCTCTGTAACTTCCAGTTGGTCAACTTTCTTTTTGCTTTTTCCAGATTGTCTCCAATGCCATGTCAGATAGGGCAATCTTGTATAAGGCAAGCCAGAGAAGAAGTGTGCACCGAGGCTGTTGCCGTCCAACTTTTTTTTCGGTTTGCTCCCGGAGAAGTTCGGCTTTAAGTAGCGTAGTGCTCCAGCACGAACTTCTGATCGGGGTATTTCACTTAGGATGTATCTTCTGCTATTCTCTAACTACGTTTATGATAAAATATACCGTTGAATTTCTGCGTAACTTACGACCCATTCTAATCTGCAGTTCTCAGACAACAATAGACAATAACAAACTGCCTGTAAAATACAGCAACGTCAACAACAGCAATAATAACAACTACAGCAATGACTACAAGAATGGCAATAATGACAATACAACATCTACAACAACAATAACAACAACTGCTCTAACAGCACAATAACAACTGCAATAACAGCACAGCAATACCACCAACAACAACAACAGCAACCACAATAGCTAGAAAAGCCTCCACGACGACTCTACCTCTCTGCTTGTCTCTCTCCTCAGACACGGTTTACACTTTGCCGCCCTCCGGCCCGCCAGCAGTTTGGAACTCCAGTGTCTTCAGTCGGCAGCCAGTAGCTTCTCAGGAGTGCAGCAGCAACAGCAGCAGCAGCAGCAGCACA